CCTTGTGGATTGAGTTTGGGAGTGTTCCTCCCTCTGCTATATTTTGCAAGAGTTTGAGAAGGATGGGTGTTAGCTCTGCTCTAAATGTTTGATAGAATTCGCCTGTGAATCCCTCTGGTCCTGGGCTTTTGTTTGTTGGAAGATTTTTTTTTTTTTTTTTTTTTTGTTGGGAGATTTTTAATCACACTTTCAATTTCAGTGCTTGTGATCGGTCTCTTCATATTTTCTATTTCTTCAGTCTTAGGAGATTGTACCTTGCTAAGAATTTGTCCATTTCTTCTAGGATGTCCATTTTTTTGGCATAGAGTTGCTTGTAAGTAGTCTCTTAGGATGCTTTGTATTTCTGCGGTGTCTGTTGTAACTTCTCCTTTTTCATTTCTAGTTTTATTTATCTTGATGAGTCTGGCTAAAGGTTTATCAATTTTGCTTACCTTTTCCAAGAACCGGCTTTCAGTTTCATTGATCTTCTCTATTTTTTCTTTGTCTCATTTCTTTCTCTACTGATTTTAGGTTTTGTTTGTTCTCTTCCAAGTTACTTTAGGTGTAAGGTTAGGTTGTTTGAGATTTTTCTTGTTTCCTGAGGTAAGATGGTATTGCTATAAACTTCCCTCTTAGAACTGCTTTTACTGTGTCCATATGTTTTAGATCGTTGTGCTTTTTTTTTCATTTGTCCGTAGGCATTTTGTGATTTCTTCAGTGATCCATTGGTTGGTTAGTACCATGTTGTTTAGCCTCCACGTGTTTGTTTTTTGCACTTTTTTTCCTGTAGTTGATTTCTAATCTCATAGTGTTGTGGTTTGAAAAGGTGCTGATATCATTTCAATTTTCTTAAATTTACTGAGGCTCAGTTTGTGCTCAGCATGCCTGGAGAATGTTCCATGTGCACTTGAGAAGAATGTGTATTCTGCTGCTTTTGGATGGAATGCTCTATAAATACCAATTAAGTGCATCTGGTCTGATGTGTCATCTTAAGGCCTGTGTTTTCTCATTGATTTTCTGTGTGGATGATCTGTCCATTGATGTACGTGGGGTGCTGAAGTCTGCCACTATGAATGTGTTAACTGTTAATTTCTCCTTTGAAGGCTGTGTTAGCATTTGCCTTATCGAGGTGCTCCTATGTTGGGTGCATAGATATTTACAATTGTGATATCTTCTTCTTGGATTGGTCCCTTGACCATTATGTAGTGTCCTTCTTTGTCTCTTGTGTCTGATATGAGAATTGCTACTCCGGCTCTCTTTTGACTTCCATTTGCATGGAATACCTTTTCCCATCCTGTCACTTTCAGTCTGTGTTCCTAGATCTGAATCGGGTCTCTTGGAGACAGCATATACAGGGGTCTTGTTTTTGTTTCCGTTCAGCCAGTCTGTGTCTCCTGGTTGGAGCATTCAGTCCTTTTACGTTTAAGGTAATTATCGATATGTATGTGCTTGTTGCCATTCCTAATTGTTTGTTTTGGATTTGTTTTTGCACGTCTTTTCTCTTCCTCTTTTGTTCTCTTGTGATTTGATGACTGTCTTTAGTGTTGTGTTCTGATTGCTTTTTCTCTCTCTTTTGTGTATCTGTTGTAGATTTTTGGTTTCTGATCCCCATGAGTTTTGTTTTTGTTAACTTTTATTGGAGTATGGTTGATTTACAATGTTGTGTTAGTTTCAAGTGTATAGCAAAGTGAATCAGTTATACATACATATATCCACTCGTTTTTAGATTCGGTGCCATATAGGCCATTACAGAATATTGAGTAGAGTTCCCTGTGCTGTATATATAGTAGGTCCTTATTAGTTATCTATTTTATATACAGTAGTGTGTCTGTCTATGTCAATCTCTCAATTTATCCCTCCCCCCCCCTTACCCCCAAGTTTGTTTTCTATGTCTATCTATAACTCTCTTTCTATTTTGTAGATAAGTGAACTTGTACCCTTTTTTGAGAATCCACATATAAGTGATGTCGTATGATATTTGTCTTTCTCAGACTGACTTTGCTTAGTATGATCATCTCTGGGTCCATCCATGTTGCTGCAAATGGCATTGTTTCATTCTTTTTAATAGCTGAGTAATATTCCATTGTATATAGGTGCCACATCTTCTTTATCCAATTCCTCTGTCGATGGACATTGAGGTTGCTTCCATGTCCTGGCTATTGCAAATAGTGCTGCAGTGAACATTGGGGTACATGTATCTTTTTGAAGTATGGTTTTCTCCAGATATATTATGCCCAGGAGTGGGATTGCTGGATTGTATGGTAGCTCTATTTTTAGTTTTTTGAGAAATTTCCACAGTGGCTATACCAATTTACATTCCCTCATCCTTTGGGAGAACCTCTGCCATATAATTAATTTTCAGTTTGTGGGTCTCCCACCTGGTGGGTATGGGATTTGATTATATGGGGAAAGTGCCCCTCCTACCATCGCTTTGTGGCTTCTTCTTTGCCTTTGGATGTAGAATATCTTTTTCGGTAGGTTCCAGTGTTTTTTGTTGATTGTTGTTCAGCAGTTTGTTGTGATTTTGGTGGCTTGGTGAGAGCAGGTGAGCTCAAGTTCTTCTACTCTGCTCTGTTGTCTCCCTTCCCCCAAAATAAATGGAAACTGTAGTCCTAAAAGATAATTCTTACAGTGTAATGGGAATTTTAAAGGTTTTATTTTAGAATGGGAAGTTTGATCTGCAGTAGATCTACGATTATTTAATTGACAGGCCAGGCCACAGAAGAATCCCTTGTGTACTCAACAGGCGGGCATAACACATAGATTGGGACTAGGACAAAGGAAAATCCTACATGACCAAGATTTGAGGGATCACTTTTGCATAGTTATTAAATCATTTCTGTGTGGTATTTATTAAATCTTTTCTTTTGAGTTGAGTTTTATGTACCAAATGTATAACTAGCATTGCAGTCAGTATCTTAAAAAATTAATCTTTTTCTTCTCCTCCATTCTTATAATTCTCAAGCCTGTGGTCAAGTATGCATTTCATATCTTAATCCTCTTTGGTTTAAAGAACTCAAGGTAGGTTGATCGTGAGGACATACAATATTGGAGAAGGCCTTACTTACTTACAAAAGTTACCTACAGGGGTAACATTTTAAAATCACATCAAACTGATTAATCAGAGAATTTTAATTCTACACAAAATAATGTTACCTAACCTAAACAGCTTTGTGTTCAACACTCGGTACAGTACAGAGTGTTTTAAGGATTTCATTTATAGGTGGCAATGCAGTACATGTTCTTTTTATTGTTTAATACTATATTGTTTAATACTATTGGGTTGGCCAAACAGTTCGTTCAGGCTTTTCTGTAAGATGTTACAGAAAAACCCGAATGAATTGTTTGGCCAAGCCAATACTGTGGATGTTTTGACTGCTCTGCATTTAAAATAGCCTACTGCTGTCTAAAAATGGTACAAAGAAGAGAATCGTAGTGCATGACTACCAAGTACCAGATTTGTATCTACTAAGGAAGCATTCCCTAGTGGTAATCCAGTTAATTGATTCAAGGGCTGTGGGAGGAATCACCCTGTTTAAGCGAGCCACCTTATTAGCATAAACTCTATGGTCTGAAGGGCCCACCATAATTGACAAGGACACTCCTGTCTCTTGAGAAATTTCAGGATTTTAGAGGTTATCTTCCAGGAGCTGGGGCCAAATTCTTTACAACAGTTAAAGTAGGGCTTAGAAGGAAATTTATAGCCTTCAGTGCTCATATAAGACAAGACAAGGAGATCTAATGTCAATGACATTAAATTCTACCCTAAGAATACAGAACAAAGGAAGTGAAAAGAAAGAAAATACAATGAGACAGAAAATAGTAACAACAGAGAAAGGCATCAAAGCCAAAAAAAGCCAAAACTTTGAAGGATAAACAAAGTCAGTAAACTCTCAGGTTGACTGATCTCGAAGAAGAACAGATGACCAAAATCAGCAATGAAAGATGAGGCTACCTGTTAAAATAAGGGAATGCAGTGAACATCTTTATGCCAATAAACTCGACACTGTAGATGAAATGGACACATCTTGAAAAATACTGAGGAGAAGACGAAAAGGGACATATAACTAGTTATATATGTAATTAAAGAAATGGAATCCATTATCAACGAAAAGGGACATATAACTAGTTATATATGTAATTAAAGAAGAAATGGAATCCATTATCAAAAGTTTTCCCAGAAGGAAAACTTTAGACCCAGATGGTTGCACCAGTGGGCGAAGTCTATCAAATATTTAAGGAAGAGATAATGCCAATCATACAAACTCTGAGAAAATAAGAGGAAGGAATGCTTCTGATTTTCTTTATGTAGCCAGCAGGACCCTGATTCTAAAACCTGATAGACAGACATGATAGATAGATAATACATCATGACCAAATTGGGTTTAGCCTCAGGAATGCAATATTAAGAAAGTAAAGGAGAAAAAGCATATTATCATTTCATTAGATACTGAAAACCATCTGATAAAATTCAGCAGATGACATGATTATTTGCAAAGAAAATCTCAGGATACCAAAAAACAACTATTAGAACTAATAAGTGAATTTAACAAGGTTTTGGGATATAAGGTCAGGATCCAAAAAATGACACTTACTAATAAGTTTCACCAGATATGTACATTGAATATTATAAAACACTGCCAAAGGAAATTAAAGAAGACCTAAATAAACCATGTCTGTTATTAAATCAGTTTTATTAAGGTAGCTATTCTTTTCAGATTGATGCAATACCAGATTTACTGTTTTTTTCTTTTTTTTGGTAGAAATTAATTAAAATTCATATGGAAATGCAGAAGACCTAGAATATCCAAGTGGAATATAGATGTTTCTCTGAATAATATAAGTGTGATAATTAGAGTGAGAGAAAGAAGGAAAGACAGAAAGGGAGACTGAGAAATCTTTTTGGACCAGACTTTGTAGTTAAGCAACGCAAGTGTGTGTGTGTGATAAGCTGCCTCAGCTGATTCAGAAAGTCGTCGTCGTCCCCCCGCCCCCAACCTTGACACCGGTAACTCACTGACCTTGGTGTGGTACAACTTAACTTGAGCGCTGGTCCTGGTTGTCTTGGCCACCTGACCTTGTTCAGATCCAGAGCAGTGCTTCTGTACAGGGTTGTTGTAAGAGTCAGTGAGAAGGAGGTATGTGATGCTATAAAAGGGGTTAACAGAAACAGATCTAAGAAGTAGAACTTTACCTTAGTCTATTCTCTGGAGCCTAAGATGTTCACTCTGCTTTTGTTTTACTCTGATAACAGTGTTTAAGATTGTGGAGCACTGATTTCCAAAGGTAGGTTGTACTAGAGGGCTGCTTATGGGCTCCGAACTGATTACAAAATGTAAGATCTTTCTTCGGTTCTTAAGGGTAAATCATATCTGCCATTTTTTGTTTTTACTTAATACAAAACGCTACTTACTAACTGCCTATACGTTAATAGAAACGGTATTCTCGCAAGAAATTGGTAATTGGTGTGCCCGCAGTCCATGTCGTGAAGTGTCTGCTAGGCTTTTGCACACACAGGCAACTGGAATTTATGAAAGATTGGGGAGTATGTATTATCTGTATATAGTATTAGGTTCTGATTTTTCAAGTACTGCTATTATGGTTTACTGTTACCATTAATGCAATGTGTTCTTGGGTTAGCCTTATATGGGTGGTGTACTTTAAACCCATAATTTTCTAGTAACTACTGCTTCATCAGGGAATTGCTAAAGTATCATCTCCCAAATTTTGTGTTCATATTGACATTTAATTATACTGAGTTTGCACCCCTAACTCACTAGAAAGTGGGAAACTGGTGAAATAAGTCATTTATTCCAAGTAATTAGAGAGGATGGAAAAAGTGGATACCACCTTATCCACTGCTCTGGATAGGTTGTAAGAGCAGTATTAAATATGGCACTTACCTTCATGGGAGAACTAAAGGTAGCATGAGGTAATAGAGTAAGTACTCAACTGTGTGTGTTCTGTGAAAGGTCCTTGTGAGCCTGTCCGCTCTTCTAATGCACAGCTTGATCCCTTCTTCCTGGCTTTGCTTCTTCCCATGCAGACTCATCAGACACCTGCACAGTTGAGAGGAAAGCCCGAAGAATCAGCGTGACCTCCAGAGTACAGGAGGACATCCACGACACCCAGGCAGCAGCTGCAGATGGTTTGTACTTGTGTGTCTGGAGTTTGTGCAAAATGTCCAAACACACGTGTTAACCCATGTAGAGTTCTCGTAAGTAAAGGCCAACCTTTTTTTTTCCCTTAAGAAATTACTCTCTACTGAGTTTCTAAGGCTGTGCTGTCCAATAGAAATAACAGTTGAAGCCACGTACGTAATTTAAAATTTTATATCAGCCAAAGTAAAAGAGAAAAGGGAAATGACGTTTCACTATGAAATCAATATAAAATTAGTGAGGTATTTTATTTTACATTCTTTCATACTAAATCTTCCTTTTACACTTAGAGCACACCTCAATTCAGAGTGGCTGCATTTCTAGTGGCCACCATATGGGACAGAGTCCTCTAAAAATAATATTATCTAGAAAACAAGGCCAAGTAAATAAATAAAAAACAACTTCAACTTGAAAGTTCTGGACTTTACAATATCTTATCAAAAGCAGATTAATATAAGAAAACTTTGTACTCTTAACAGAGAGATAACAAGTTCAGGTTTTGCACCACTTTCCCTTTAACATTAAAGTCTATGTACTCAATTACATTTTTTCTGTTAAGATTTCCTCTTAGTGTACTTTTTATTTTGTTTTGTTTAACATCTTTATTGGAGCATAACTGCTTTACGACGGTGTGTTAGTTTCTGCTTCGTAACAAAGCGAGACGGTGTGTTAGTTTCTGCTTCGTAACAAAGCGAATCAGCTACACGCTCAAATTTAATCTTAGTCCTGACCTGACCACCCATAGAATTCCTTTCTCACAAACCTTCTACAACTTTCTATATTCGTATTAATTTCTCCCTTATTTTCTTTCCCGTTTAGAAATAAGCAGCTTTATGCCAAATTACTTTCTGTTCTCTTAACAAAACACATTTTCATTCCTTATGCCCCTTCTTTTTCCTTTCATACAAAGATGTTTTTCCTTAATTAGAATTCTTAACCTTAAAGCCTTGGTTTCTAGCAAAATCTAGGAAGTAATTATGAACTGTTTGCCAATCAGGAAATGCTGGTATGACAGACTATGCACATATCCTATAACCTACTTTCTTTCTTTAGTGGGTCCCAAGACATGTCCAGTGAACGCAGACAGACTTGTTTAGCAGTTAATGTTCTAGTATCTTATTCAGTGGATTCCCATTGCTTAATTTAGCAGTTTCAAAAGTTACCAAAAATCTGGAGAAACTGTTCTGTGTAGGCAGTCCTAAAACATTATTCCTCAAGAGTTCACCTAAAAACTCTCATCTCATTTACCTTTAACGTTTCATCATATCAACTTACTTTCTTGCTGACAAATTTTGTAACAGGAATAGTAACATCTTATTTGACTTCTAGTCAAATTGACTCTATGGTCTGTATTCATTAAACCAACAAACTTAAACTTGTTTTCATTCATTAAAATTAATCCTAGATCATGGTCCTGAAATTCATTTGGTTTGTTTTCTGAGTATTTATATAAGCGCTTAATTTCGTTGAAGCCAATTAAATAGAGCTCTTTTATAGACTGTAGGTATGTGGTGTTACCAAAATCAACACATCTATACATACATGCAAACAAACATGCAAACAGAGACCCAGTACTTCCCATGCCAAAATGTCAGCCATGAACCAGGTACGATAATATGAAACCCACCACTTACAAAAGAGTTTGGATCCAAATTGGGTTTCTTTAAGATTGAACAAATCAAGGTCACCTCTTTAGATGGTTAAACCTTTTTTCCTAATATTTATAGAAAAGACACTTAAGATCTGTATTTGTCCTTGACAAGCCAAGTTCCATGTTGTTACCTAGCCCCCCTTTCCTTTTTTCTTGTTGATGAGAGTTAGTTAGTTAGTTACCTTTGAATTTTGCATTTTGAAAATGGCCTAGATAAGCATTCCTGGGGTAGACCAGCTAGACCTTTGGCATCTCAAAGGCATAGGAGGAGAAATGCAAGCTTCTCCTAGGTGGACTTTGTTCCTTAAGGCCAGATCCACCCCACCCCCCACTACTACAAGCCTCTTAAGGTAGATAGGGGAGGTTTTTGGGATTTGGGAATGGTAAAGGATTGTGGGCTTTGGATTGGATTGTTCCTGGAGCTACACCTCTGGTCCTGGAAAAACCTGATTTTGTAAAACAGGGACAGCTATTTTGAATTTATCAAAGGAGCGACATACCCATCCACCCTATGATAGAATGTTTTTTATGAACTGTCACACCACTTATAAGTCATTATGATTAAAAACATGCATATTGTGGAGCTGAAAGTCTCATGGAAGAAGGCACACATTTAATCAATGTTTGATATAGTATGACTAGTACTACCGGGGGGGTGGGAGTCATGGGCGGGCTGAAGTTGTGAGGGAAAACTTCAGAACTAATTTAACATGCTATATAACATTTCTCATTGTTTTCACTTGGCTGGAATATAGCATAACTATGCACTATCGAGAGAGAATTAATTAACTTGGAAGGTAGTCTGTGCTGGACTTCTGTCTGCTTGTAGGAAAAAAAGTAAATTGTTGAGAACAAAGTAGAAAATATATCATAAACTTACTATTTAGTTCTGCATTTCTAGTAGCTATGTATACTACTTGGCTTTCTCATTTCACAATACCACTTTCCTTGCTTTTGGGGGGTAATTTTGAATTTCCGTTTCGATGATACTTAGAAAAAAATTCACTCTGTTTTCTCTCTTTTATTCCTAACTTCTCTCAGAGCATCCAAGTAGCTCCAAACAGAGTCCTCGGACACAACCCCGAGATGAAGACTATGAAGGGGCTCCATGGAATTGTGATAGCTGCACCTTTCTGAACCACCCCGCACTAAATCGCTGTGAGCAGTGTGAGATGCCACGGTACACTTGAATTCCCAAGAGTCTGCACTAGGTTGAGAGTGAAGCTTTGAGCGCCCATTAGAAAAAAAGGAAACCTGGGGAATCTGTTCATCTGCCCAGCCTTTTCATTTCATATAACATGGGGGGGGGTGACAATGCAGCTGCTTGTGCTCAATAAAGGAAAAATGGGGAGGGTTTTTTTCCCCCTTTCTTAACTCATTGCAGAGTTACAGATAGAAAGGGATACTTGAAATGGGGAAAGGATTCACTCCTGAAAGAATGTACACAGAGAAGTCAAGAGCTCTTCTGTGCAACCCCAATTGTTAAAGTTACTGCTGTTAAAGTTACTTATAAAATAAGTTACCCTTATTTTATAAACTAGAACTTTGATTCATGATGTGACATGTTACAGTTTATGCAGACAAACTGTGAATTGCCAGAGCAGACTTACCTGGTCACAAGCTCTCTGGAAAACCCAGGCTCCCCGGGCTTCTTCCTGTTGCTTCCTACTGAAGAGAAGGACAGGGAGAAGCAACCAGAGCATGTTTTTCGGGGGGGGGGGGGGGCAAAATAACAAGGGTATTTGTAATTGCTGCTTTTTTCAGGGGTAATTTCAAACACACAAACAAAATGTTTTAAAATGTGATTTGTAGCAGTCAGGAATTAGGCATATCGTGCCCTTTGTTCAAAAGTACAATCAGAGGCAATAAGATCCCTTTTGCTTGTACAGTGATTCATCAAGCTATACCAACACTGGTAACTAAGACCTAATTATGCCGCATAATAGATATATTTTTTAAGTTACTGCATGCTTTTATTAGGCGCCACTGGTTTTTAAAATAACCAAGTCCTTACAAATTATGATTTTATGAATGACCTTCTCGTAAAACTGCGCTTCACCAATAGCACAGTGAACGTGTGCTGAATGTAAATCCATTCCAAAATCCACTTGGAATCTTGAGCTCAGCTGTGGTTCTATAAGAAATGTTTGCAGTCCCTAGAGCCTTTTTCCCCCTCCTTCCAATTTGTGATAGTCCATGATGTTTACAGCACAGATAATACTTTGTGCCATAATCCTAATTTAGCTGAAAAAAATTAATATTAGTTGTTCAATAAAGATATATTTGCACATATGTTAACAAAATAGTGTGAGGAACATTATAGTTGGCCAATATCATAAAGTTGCACGCTGCGTTATTTGGGGAGGAAGAGAAGGCTAGTCAAGAAATAACGACTGAGAGAAAGGTGAATACAACAGACTTTGAAACTAAGAACTTTTAAAATGTAACAATACTGTAATTCAGAGATGATACTGAGTTTGTTCAGACAGTTCAGGTGATACTAAAGCACTCTTTATTTATGAAACTAGAACTTTAGGGTATAAATAACTGAAGACATACAAAACCATTTGACTTACTAAAGTGCACCACTAGAAAATTATTAATAGGACACTGAATTAAGGCCTTTACCATTGTTGACTTTTCTTCCAAGCTCAGAATTGGACTTTGGAATCTTCCCCCTATTTGGGTAAATATAAACAGCAATGAAATTGGTAGGTTTCCTAATCCTAAAGGATTTTACCTCAGGTTATAACCTGAGGAGTATCTATATACTCTCCCATACCAGCCGTCCCCCTTCTCTCCTCTCTCCCCCTCTCTCTATCACTCACACACACACAGACACACACACGAGCTTCACGCTTCACGCTGTCACTGTATGCTAATTTAGCAGTAATCTCTGGCAGACCTGGAAAAACAAGCTGCACTTAATAGCATAATGAAACCAAAGGCATAATAACTTATCATAGCTTATCATCAAAGTCACAATTTCACACTGTACCTGCAGCTTTGAAAACATTTTTTCATATGTGGAAAATGTCCTGAAGAATATCTACTTGTCTCACAAAGTCAGCGTGGCTATGTAATTATCCTGATAAAACATCTCTCATATAACAACTGTGGTAAAACTGTGAAAATAAAGGTGAGAAAGCAGATGGGCTTAAAAGCATTGACCTGAAAACAGCATTCACTCTCTAAAGGCTTTTGTAGTAACACTGGTGTCTGTCAGTCTCCAGTAAGTCTATCAGTCC